AAGTGTTACCCTGCTATGTCATAGTTTATTGTTCCACATCCGTGAGAACAATTTAATCCCATCAAGCTCAGTAGGTTGACCGAGAAGTTTTTAGTAAGCCCAAATGAATAAAATTTCCTTTTAATGTGACCTAATAATTGAGTTTAATAGCTCAGACAGAAAAAAACATATGAGAGACTGTGAACAAAAGGAGAACTCGTTTTATTATTACCTTATGCATCAGCAATCAAATGTGAATTTGAAAGAAGCCACACTTGCAGGTTTGAAGCAATCTTTCATTTTGATTCAATCCTATTTCCAAGACATTTGTTGCATATTTAATGCAAGTCCTCATTCTGAATGAGGGGAATAGCTAATCAAGATATGAATATTTAATTCCTTCAATTTATTCACCTTGAATCCCAATTTACAGGGCATGGAAAGACACTGACGTGTAATAATTTATATAATTCCTGATTTTCTTTTTTAAAGCACTTTGTTATATGATTAGGTTGGGGGAAAATATCAATAACAGAAAGCTATCAGGAAACATTTCTGCAAAACAGCCAGGTTACGAGCAGCTTTCCTCGTGCACCTGCTGTTTCCATGGTGATTGTGATTGGATAGGTAGTGGGTAGTTAGCACCAGGCCCAATCAGGGTCTATTGGCAGGGAGGGGTGCTGTAAGACAGTTAGCCAACACGCGGATGACACTTCGATAAATCAAACGGCGGGCAATCAGAAAACGATCTGGGACTAATTGCTCTTGGTGAGGAAGAGACATGGAGAATCAATGATTTCTAGCTCTGGATGCAAAAAGCCTTGTTAGACCTAAGTGAGGTTAGCATCGCATGATTCATATGACTTCATTATAAACTTTAAGTTTATGGTGAAGAACATGAACACTACCAACATCATCATAGACACCAAGAAAAATTAAACAGAACTATTAACAATTTTAAAAAGGTTTCAAATTAATGCATTGTGACAGAAAATATAATCTCTCTCTCTCTCTCTCTCTCTCTCTCTCTCTATATATATACACACTCTCTCTCTCTCTATGCAATTGCAATAAATTCCTCAGACACTGTAATTTCTCAAATTTTTTCTACAAATGTAAGTTCTTCTGAAGATCCACAGTTTTTTTATTACAAATTAAAAGTGATCATGTCAATATATAATTTCATATTTTTGAGTTATAGGATTTATGTATGTATGTATTGTTATACAGCTATGTCATAATTATTCAACCCTTATTCAACATTTCTGTTTTTAAGTCACTTATTTGTATGGTAGTATGTTTAGAAGGTTTTTGTTTTGTTTTGCTTTTGATCCACTCAAATGCTTATTAATACAATTATAATAGTTTATTGATGTCTTGGTTCCTTGGCTGAATTGCTTTCATAAAATTATATATATATATATAAGATTATATTTAAATTATGTATTATAGTATCGTCTTATTTAAGAGGTGATTAGTTATAATGTCATAATTCTGAAAATAAATCAAATGCAATGGTTAATTTGTGTCAAGAAAATTCTAGTGACCATCCCTGACATATTTCTAAACTTCTTCCGCCATATTTTAAGAAAACATCAGCAAATCTATCCAAAGATCACTCCTGATGACAATTTAATAAATGCAATGGGATTTGTTTAGCACTTCAACTGAAGTGCACTCACTTTATAATGGATATATTCACTGACAGGCCCAAATAACTGATCTATTTTATTACATCTATTTGAAGCCTAAAAAGAAACAACATAAAAATAACTGCTGTTGTCTTATCCGATGTGCAAAATCAGATGGTAGAGAGGTTCCTCTCAGCACAGAGAGACCACTGACCCATAGTGGGCACTGATATCACTATAATGACAAGCTTCCATGTCAACAGCGCTGGAGAGCACTTGACTGCGAGGGTGAGTAAGAGATGGCCTCGAGGCCTGTGCCAGCACTGTGTTTTTCATTTATCTAAATGAATGGAGGATGCATCACACTCTCGAATTTGCATTCCTGCCCCACTCTGCTGTTCATTAATGGCTGATGAATGCAGCTGTGTACGAAAAAGGTTTGTTAAAGTCCTTTAGCATGGTTCATGAATACTTTCTGGCTTTCATTTTCTCTCTCTCTACCTCCTCCTCCCTGCCATCGTGGCGGCGTCTAATGTAGGTCATCTGTCAACCACCCACCCATTATTCTCTGTTACCTTTATGGCAGAGAGTGAAGCAGGAGTTTTCACTTTGCCTCCAGCCAAAGGAAACCTTTAGACCGGGTCTGACTCCAAGGACCACTGTAGCCCAAACCATGTGCAAATACCTCCCACATCCACAGCTGTCTGGACTTTGATGGAGCCATTAATCTTGCCCTGCGTTTAGCATTTGGCCTTACTGTACATGTCTGTATGTTGGGCCAAATATAAAATCATACAGACAAATGAAACGTAATCTTGGATCATACTTTTAAGTCAACATAAAGTTATCTTCGCAAGCCTAAAGCAGGATATTCAACAATAAAAAATGAATGGCTATATTTTATCCTTTGAGAACTGATTGGATCTACAATTGGCTTTCAGTCTGAAAAATACAGTCCGACAAAAAAAAAAATAATATTTTTAATTCTTTTTTTTTTAGTTTATGCCTAAAAGAGTTTTACCCCCATATATCACATATAATTTGCTCGTCCACACAATAAGACGACAGATACATGCACAATATATCTGTATAAACTCTGAACCATTTTATGACAAACTATTTTCTGTGGCACAGATACTGCGAGTTCTTGTGACATCTGGAGAGAGCCTGAGGAACCGATTCCAAGGGTCATTTCTGCCCTGTTGTGGTGGATATAAAGTATTACAACAGCAGTAATAATAGGGAAAAGACAATTTAGCATTCCTCATAGTGTATCCACACCGACAAAAGCATATCTGGGGTCCTTTAATAAAAATAATATATCTATAAAAATCTATAATTATTATGTTTGATTTTATATACACATACACTACTGCTCAAACCTTTGGGGTCAGTAAGAATTTATTTTTTTTTTTTTCCAATAAATTAATCATTTTATTCACCAAGGATGCATTCAATTTACCAAAATGTACAATAATGATATAACGCTACAAACATTTTTACAATAAATTAATGTTCTTTAGAACTTAATTACTATTAAAAGCTCCACAAATTATCAGGCAGCACAACCGCTGCTGAAAATGAAACTTTGCCATCACAGGAATTAATTACATTTTAAAATAATAAAATTGTCACAGTCAACAGGGAGGGACCCAAATGCAGAGTGAGTGAAACAAGATTTATTTTAGACACAAGTTCACAGCGCAGGGGTGGACAATCTAGGGACAGCTCCAACCAGCAGGGAAAGATCAATGCCCAGAGAGGTAGACAGTCTGGGGTACAGTCTCAGTCATTGGTCAAATCGGGGCAGAAGGATGGGGAGAAAACCAGAGCAGAGACCAGCAGAGCATGCAAGCAGAGCGAAGGGGCTCAAAGCAGGCAGCATCAGAGATTCGGTTCTCAGCACCAGGCTTTGTTGGCAGGCCGCCTTGGGGAACCAACAGGCAGGGAGTCTCAGGCTGGGAGAGCAGGACTGGAGGGAACACACACAGCACAAACACTCAACTACTCAGCGCAACACACAGAGAAACAACATTATCTACAAAAGAAATAAAAAAATAAAAATAAAAAAATAAAATAAAAAGTAAAGCAAAACGTAATGGAAATGTCTAGGTTTAGACAAAAAAAAAATAACTAAAGTATAAAATCTAAACAGCTCAGGAGTAGAAACAAGATTAATACGACTAAATATGATATTACAAGTAAACTTAAGCAAGATACTAAAGAATAAAACCAAAATCAGAAGATAGAAAAAGCAAGCGCAAAAACTACAAGGATACACAATAACGGCGCAAGACTGGAATATAGCACAGCAAGTCAGTAACTGTCTCTATGGCACAAGACAAACCAGCAATCACAAGAGTAAAAACAGCACAATATAAAGGGAGGAAAGTACATGAGGGACAGGTGAGCCCAATTACAGAAACGAGGACAAGACAAAGCCTAAACAAGTGGGCGTGACCAAGGGAAACAAGGAGGTGGGACCACAGGAACACATGGCAAGCATAAACAAAGACAAAATAATGTGTGCAAACACAAGACAAACAAAGAAACATTAAACAAAGACAACACAGACAAAGCTGCCAGGGCAGAGCCCTGACAAAAATAGCAACATGTTATTTTAAATTGTAATAATATTTTGGAATATTACTGTTTTTACTGTATTTTTGATCATGTAAATGGAGCCTTGGTTAGCTTACCAAATAAGATGGCTGCCACATCAGCCAACAAAAACTGATTGCACTTTCAGGGAGTGTAATTTTGTCCATGGGACCAAAAGTGCCCATAGTTGAAGAAACAATCTGATATTCATGTATCAGCGGGTGATGCAACCAGATCAAAGTTCATAAAAGGCTTTAATTTCTCCATACTCGATACTGTGCCATGTGTTGACAAATGTCCTAGATCATCTTGTTTGTCTCTCACTGAATAAACTCTAATCTGGTTGCATCACCTGCTGATATGTGAATGTCAGGTTTACCTAAAGGTTTACCTTTACCAAATTCAATGAGAAAGCGAAAGAAAGAAGAGAAGACAGTAGTCATTTTGGAACTCGCCCTTTGGTCTTTCCTGTTATTGTGTGAGATGAAAGTGTGAATCGAGAAGTCTGACTTCTCTGAAATGTAAACATCAGATAAAACTTTATTTTCTTTTAAACTTGTGGGCGGCTACGGAGTGTTCTGGTATAAAAGCGTCCTTCATTTGACTTTAGTAAATTATTCACTTTTTAATCCCGAACTATACAAACAGAGACACCCCCCCCCCCTAAAAAACCCCCAAAAACTAAAGCCCAAGTCAGTTTGGGAGGCGGGGTGAAAATGAAAATTATTCACTTTTTAATCCCGAACTATACAAACAGAGACACCCCCCCCCCTAAAAAACCCCCAAAAACTAAAGCTCAAGTCAGTTTGTGAGGCGAGCTGAAAATGAGAGGTCCTGTACAAATCGTCAGCTTTTCCTGCTTCCTGTTTTCTGTTACCTTTGTGCAAGGTCAAGGTGAGTTTATTAATTTTCATATGTAGAAGGTTATACATAATATATGCACTTCCAACACTTTTTTCTGACCTTAAGTGGTTTGAGAAGGTGTTGACTAGTTCATCTGTTTGTGCTTTTATTTGTGCTTCTCAGAATGTCTTGGAGAGGACATTACTTATGAAAACACACAACCAGTTGTAAATGTTTCATACGCTGATGGTGAAACAGTAGACGTGAACTGCATGACAGGTTATATCGGCTTTTATAAGTTAAAGTGTAAAAATGGGCAATGGCTGACGTTCATTGCACGAAGATGCTCAAGTAAGATAATTGCCAATATGACTACATCATTTTTTTGTTATTAAATTAAAACTGAGCAGATTTGCATTCATCACAGTAACACTTGCTTGATTTCTGTAGAGAAAAAATGTGGTCACCCAGAGGAAACACCAAATGGTTATTTTAAACTTATAGAGGGGAGAGATTATACTTATGGAGCAACAGTGGAGTATACTTGCAAGACAGGGTAAATGTGCTTTATGCGCAGCGTTTCATTTGCTTCCCTCAGTTGTCTTTGTGAATTCAGTTAAAATATGTCCTCTTCAACTTGACACTGCTTCTACTTAAAAACTTTGTGTTTGTAGGTACGAAATGACAAGCAGAATCAATCGGCGTCACTGTAGAATCAAAGGGTGGGATAATTCTGTCCCTGTCTGTGAGGGTAGGCTTTCTTGAAAGTCTGTTTGCACTGTTGTCATTTGATTTATTAAGGTGCTGTAAGCGATTTTTATAGCATGGTACATGGAAAACGATTCTAATCTCTGAATGATACCACTGAAATATTTCCGGCCAGGTCTGTAACAGCCTCCATGTAAAACAAAAACATTGTTTTGCCAACCAGAAGGCTTTTGAGGCGCTTCTGCCTGTCAGTCATTTTGCGCATTCACAGCAGGCACTCCACATTTTGTTGGAAATTGTACACTGCGAGTGTGATAGATTAACAATGCAAAATGTTCACGAACAATGGACAATGAGCATTGCTACAGCTTCTTTCATGATCAGGTGAGACGAAAGCTCCAAAGCGTATGAAAACAGATGCTGAGCTTGATTTGCTCCTGCTTGACACCACAGGTAAACATAGCCTACCTTGGTTGCGCCAAAAAAAAGGTGGGGGTTGAAGAATTAGGGGGGCATGTCTAAATCGGTGACAAAAAAGAAGCTAACGTCACTTACAGCACCACAAGGGTTGCCAGGTTTCCCAAAGCACAGCGTAGAACGTTAGCAACATGCTGGTTGGATTTAGGGGACCTCTACACAATACCGTTTCCAACTAAAAACTGAAAGCCTTTTATGCGTTTTGGCCATTCATTTACACAACAACAACGTTTTGGCGGCACAAACGAGATGTCTTTAGAGAAGTGCTAAAATGGAAATTTGTTTGCTAAATGAGCACCTTCCGCACTATACATTTTTTTTTTTTCAAAGTTGTAAATAAAACAAATATTACTGGAGAATGTTTTCAGAGAAAATACTACATAAGTATTTCTACATTCACGTTTAATTCAGTGGGTTACTTGCTTTTCTTTGTATTAACTATTAATTACCAGCAATTTCTGAGTGATTTTTTTTTCTACACAACTGTTCTAGTATGATCTCTCTTCCCCATCTTCATTCTCTTCATCTTCCAGTGGCAGGTTCAGTAGCCTTGCGTGTAGCAGGACAGTCACATTTTGCATGGTGGAAGTTACAAGAAGCAAATGTACTCTGCTTAGACCTCTATTTAACAGTGGTTCTGTCAGGACCACTATCGTCAGAATGATAGATACTTAGCAAGAGATCAGTAAAAAATTGGGACCTGACAGCTCCCGTTAACGATGTGCTTGAGTTGTACTTAATAGTAAGCGGTCTACATGCTGGTTTGGGAAACAGGCATTGCTCCAATGTTAAAATAACATTTCATGGAGAGCAATTTATCAGGAAATCCAACCTAAATCAGTTTATTTATTTCACAGAGGTGAGATGCCCTGTGATTCACACAGACGGGGAGGTGACTGCATCGGGCAACACAAAGGAAGGAACTCATGGCGATGTTATTTACTTTGAGTGTGTATCTTCTGACAAAAAGCTAGACGGAAATAATGTCATTTATTGTACGGAGAACGGCGTTTGGAGCGGGCCTGTTCCACAATGCATAGGTTAATACCACAGTTTCTTGATTTATTAAAGGGTCAGTTGAAATGCTCAGGACCAAACATAACTAATCCTGGAAACATCATGTATAGCATAAATACAGTCCGAACATACACAAAGCAGTTGGTCAGATGGATAGTATGTCTGAATTTTATCACAGTTTGACAACTCTTTTTGACATACTTGACATTTATTTAAACTTAGCTTTGCATTATTATGTCTTTACAGTAACTTGTCAGCTTGAGGTAACCGAACCTGAAGTAATAAGAACCATTCCATGGGGAAAAACAGTTTTCAAAGCTGGAGAAACGGTGGGGATGATCTGTTCTGGCAAAAACCGGCCCTTTAATAAACAGGAAACATTTACTTGCACAAACAATGGGAATTGGGATTACAAGCCTACTTGTGAGGGTAAGATTGTAGAGAAACACTTCAGGATTTACTGCTGAATTCATTGTGTGTTATCAAAAGCTTGTGAATCTTGTTTCAGAGAGTAGATGTGAAGTTCCACTTAACCAGCACGTGTATCTCCCAAAATATTACTTTAGTGGAGATCTGAATTTGGGAGCAAAGAGATCGTACAGTTGTGAGTCTGGATATCGTGAAACAGCAGCAGAGGCCACATGTACACGAGACGGATGGACACCGAAACCACTGTGTGCTGGTATGTTCTGTCCTGGAGTGTTAACATCTTCACAAAGACATATAATCTAAATTCTATGATTATGTGGATGTTTGTTTTCTAGAAATTATGTGTGACCCACCAACAATCCCAAATGCAAAGATTGTGGGAAGTCAAAAATCAAATTACAAAATCGGTTCAAGAATAGAATATAAATGTCGTCATGGATTTGAACCAGAGGAGCCTGTACAAATCACCTGTGATTCCCAGGGCCAGTGGACAGGCACACGGCAATGCAGTGGTATGGTACAGCTTGATTTTAGTTTATTTCATCATAAATCTCTATAAATACTTTTCATTTGTAAGATGCAACATACATTCTGCCTGAATGATCCATGTTTCAAGTCATAGTTAAATTATTGGTGTATGTCTGCAACTATGACAACACATCAATTGAATTTTATATTAACGTAATACTAATAAAAATGACTATTGTTAATGTATTGTTGAGTATTCAAAAATAAATTATCTTCTTGTACACAGATGGTACCTGTCAGGAGCAAGAACTAAAAAATATAGAAATTCTATTTGGATATCCGAGCACCACTTTACCTTATAAACCTGGCCATATCTTAGTTTTTCGATGCACTGATGACAACATGAGGTTTTACGGCCAACGTGCAATTGAATGCCTGCCAGATGGGAGGTGGAATTACCCATATCCACAATGTGGAGGTACAGACATATTCCACCAACTTTCTGTTGATTCTATTATGTGTTATACAGCTCTATAAATCAGAATAAAATATTAATCATATTTAATAATTGACTACCATCAACATTAACATCTTACATTGATCTAATTGTATCTTGTATATATTTTGCGTCCTCTAGGGAAGGTTCAGTGCTCCCAACCAACAAAAAACTTGCAGTTTGTGACACTGTCAGATGAGAAAACTGAATACAGCAACTTTGAGATACTGACATACACGTGCAATAAACCGTACAATGAAATTCCAAGAGGAGTTTTGATGTGTCAAAATGGAAAATGGAACGAAACGTTTGACTGCAAAAGTGAGTCACCAAGAAATGTTGCATTCATATTCCATTCAGTTTAATCACAGTTTTGAGTTATTGCAGAAAGATCTGAGACACAGAAACATTCACACAGAAACACGTTATAGGAAAATTGCCTACTTCCCTCTTCTGAAATTGTAATTACGAGTTTGTCACGTTCAAGTGCTTTGTTGTCGGAAAGAACAGGAATCATGGACCGTTCATTAATTCATCCTTGCCTGTTCCTTGGGGAAATCTCATAAAAGGTATAAAATATATTTAGTCAATATCCAACAGGTTTTGAATCAAATGTAGCATTCCATTCATTGGTAACCATATAAACATTCACTGCACTGTAGATATTAAGCTTGCTGACGATTCTGCAATTTCGGTCAAATAAATGCTATTTTCGCTTTGTTCAATACATAATGGCAAGATAAAGCAATGTAGATGCTGTGGGGAAAACAAATAAAACTTTACAGTACTAAAGCTATGTTTCTCCCCTCTGCCATGTTTCAAATTTGACTTGGAAACTCGGGTATCAAAATTGTCTCCCAGTCTCTCAGTTGTAAATACGACTTGAGTGGCCATTCATGTACAATTTTGGATTAGGAAACTTTTTTTTTTATATATAATTTCAAAAGCATTTGAAAGCAGCATTAATCCTACATTATAGGCTATTTCCTGATGTGAGAACCCTAATGTATGGCAGTATATTGAGTTTGTGCATTAGCTCTTAAAGTGACAACAGCCTAATATACCTGCTGCTGTCTGTCATTTAATGGTAATTAAACAACCGAGAACAAAAAGAAAATCACCCACAGCTCTTGGCTGAATAACTTTTGTGGCATTAACAAATTATATATTGAATTTGTAGAGTGAAGACTATACAGTGTTATTTTATATTTGATTATTCGATTTCTGTACCTGAATACTACTATGAGACAGACTTAAAAACTTATAACACTGTTTATTTCATTTGTACGGTACCTTTGTTTTGTATTTATTTGTGCTACTGCTTGTAATTTGTTTATTTGTATTGAAACTGAACATGATAACTGAATCATTAGAATAATTTATTAGAACATGAGGTTACATGAGACAACAAAATTAAAACTTTTTTTTTTTTTGGTGACGGGACCAATGAAAATGTTGACGAGTCAACTTTGGCATGCCCCACCGGGCCAGTAGAAACTATCCTTAGCATTGAGCCCTGCTCTGTCTAATTTAAAACATGGAGAATGCTAGATCTAACAAGCCAAAACAACTGATGAAAATAACCATCGTCTTTACCCTTCCAGTAAAAAATTGTGCTTGAAACATCAATGACAGCTTTAACTGGTCAATGCTCATAAGTGACCATGTTGGGTGGGATAATTAGCTGCACCTCAAGTGGTTCTTTGCCTCCATGTTGTACATTAAAATTGTGTAATGCATACCTATAGCCATGGTGTCACGATCTGTGCTGGGAGGAGCGCAGAACGAGGAACAAGGAGACATGGAGTACATAAAAGTCTTTAATCCTTGGAAACACAGGGGAATTATACAACATCCAATGAGTAGAACCGACAAAGGAAGACTGAACAAACAGGAACTTAAATACAAGGGATAATTACTCAACACAGGTGTCAGGAATCATAATCAAACTAAACGAGGAA